ATTTTTTTAGCGTAATATTTTAGCCGGTGCGTGGTATTGTTCCGAACGTTCTTTCTTTCTCCGTTGTCACAGCGAAAAAATAAAACAAATGGAGCTTTAATGACATGTTTAGTTAGTCATCATTATCGTCTTTTACGTTTGTTATTTCGAAAGTCGGTATCTATAGGTTATGGAGCATCTAGAGGAACCAACAACGCTTCTGTGTCGAATTACCGATTTCCTGGCATAAATGAATACAGTGATCGTGAACCAATCATAGGAGCAGATGACGGGGACGAATATTCGCCGCTGGGAATAGCTGAAAGTTCGACGAGAAATCATGATTCGCCTGGTGCGCATCCTCCTCCGAATATGTTCGATGATTTATGATGTTTTGCTTTCTTGTTTAATGAGCTTTTTCAGTGCAAGTCTATCACTAATAGCGTGTTTATTTCCACAGCGCCCACTGAATTTTGTATGTTTCTAGTTTATGGAGAATATTATGTTTTTTTCTAGTTCAGGTCTTTGGAAAAGAGCTGTTTTCAGTGTAGCGTGTGCTTAGCATTGGCTTCCCTGATCTTTCTGGTAGAATTTTACCATCTTTGTCAGGTGGAATTCATGAATCTTTTTTTTTTTGGTTGGGAAAAGTATAGCATATTATCCATTAACTTTTGTTGACGTCCCGCGAATTTAAATTTACCAATAGTATCAAAACCTCCAGGACAGTCGCTGTGGAGATTCTGTGATGGTATCTTTGAAATATTTTCTCACACTAGATGCAGTTGCTTGAGGCCCTTTGACCGTCAATCCTGCAATTAATAGTCAGAGCCTGTTCAATGTACGTGTACCACTTCTTCAAAGGTCGCTCGAATACTTGTTTACTTTCTAGTAAATGCCACTCACTGATACGTAAATCTCCTAGTTCTCGCCAAAGCGTGCAAGCCTCCCTGCCCACCACATTACTTTTTGGCGTGGTCAGCGGCACTTTTCGTGTTGTTTATCTGATGGGCGAGTCTGATTGCTTATGTGGTCATGAAAAGACGCCAAATATCCTTCGTTCCGCTGTTGCCTTTGTCACAGCCAGTGTCCACTTTTCTAATTTTGTTAATGACCACAATTCGCACCCGTACTTCAATTCTGTTTGCACAACCGATTTGAAGGGATGGGCTGTTCGATACAAATTATGATTTGACTATAACATTTGAAAAAGAAGTTTTTATGCCAATCCACTATGTTTGTGTGATATGTATTTTGCATGAGTTTACATTAGCTTTGTAAATATTTGAGGGAAGCAGATTTGGCAGTTCAGATTTGGAGTAGCTTCAAGCAAAAATTGTAGCATAATCGTTTTGTCCCTGTACATTTTCTTGCTTTTGATCTACTGTAATTTTCTGAACTAGCACATCTTTACACTTTTTTGTCGCATCTGTTCAGCAGCCTTTCCAGGATTATTCCTACTGAAGCTGTTTCAGCTGCT